TACCTACAATAGAGAACACTCACAGTGGTAGGGGCCAACACGTGGCTATCTACCGAAGGAATTCTGGACCCTGGATTGGCCATGGCCATCTCCTGTCCTGTGCAAAACGACTAACTGACTGACTGACTGACCTTGCGGTACGTTGGCGCGAGGTTGAAATTTTGGACGTGCTCTGATTCGCTTATTGTGGCGATCGTAAAAGTAAGGTGCAATTGCCATAAATTGACACTTTATTGTGTTTTACACTATTCCTTCGAGTTTTTCGATCGTAGTTATTTACAGTCCTCTCTCAAAGAGCACTTAACAGCGCGGACCAAAACTCCTTTGATAGCCATTTGGTTTGATTAATTTGGAGTTGTGTAATGCTTTTACGTGTCGTACTCTTCTTTCGTTTTCCATATCACTGTTTTGCATTTTTTGAACATCTGTACTAAAACTGACGCGCGTGTCCTGTCCATGTTTGAAGGATAGCTGCGGGAAGAAAGTGGTCAAGGGAATCGAATGCGAACCCTGCAAAAGGTGGGCACATTCTGGTTGTTCAGGTATTAGCAAAGACCACTATGCATTCTTCTGCGCAAATAGCTGGGTAGAGTGGATCTGTGAGCAGCGTGAGGACGCGGCAAGCGCTGCGTTCGCGACGAGGAAATCGGAGGCTAGAGGCAAACCCAGCAGTGAGCCTCGAGAGCCCAAAAACGGTGGAACCACCCAGAGGAACCTTCAGCACTCCGGTGGCTTCAAGTCAAGAAAAGAGTAAACCACGGGAGAGAGTTCTTGGCAAACAGTTTTGCCGAAGACTTGGTATTCATACCGTTACAAAAGTTGCTACCTGTGGTCAACCCCAAGGTACGTCAGGGTGTAAACCGCTCCAAGCCACACCATGGGTCCAAACTTGGAGCGGGCGGAAATATTCCCTCTCATGGGAAGAGAGATAGTTTAGAAGCAGAGCTCTAGGAGCTGAAGAAGCAAGTGAGTTTCCTCCTTGCAGTAAATATCCCCGAATTTGAACTTCGTAGAAACCTCCTTATACTTAACAATGAGAAGCCGAATATAAGAGAATCAAAGGCCCGTAGGGAATGGACAGGCGTAGAGTCCATGACATACTCAGATTAGCTGGAAATCCGCCGAACCTGATAATTAGGAAAGTACACCGGGTCGGGAGGTGGAATACACCATCCCTGGAAGCAACACAGGCACCAGCTAGACCCATACAGGTGGAGCTTGCCAGACCGCTAGACATGGATATGCTACTATCCCGGGCAGACTTTGTTTGGAGTACCATTAAAGGGCGTTATAAAATTGTCCCTGATGAATAATAATAATAATAATGTGTATATTTCACGAAACGCGTGAGACATGAACAAGGCATGATCAAATGTTCAGAGAGTATACGTACAATAGCAGTGTAAGTACATAGGTAGACAATAATACCAATAATATTGTGAGGATCAGAACGAAAACACAGAGTGAAAGGAACACAAACCGGACAAGGTCATAGACGAATTTATGAAGAATGGAGGATGCATTGAAAAATACATGTCACTAGAACTGCAAGTAATAGTAAAGCTGGTCTCGAAAGGATTGGCCGGCAAAAGTGTGGGAAATACGAAGAGGAGGTCTGTAATGAAAATGCTGCCCGATGGTAGAGGCATGGGGACAGAGATAGAAAGTGAGGAACACAGCAGAATAATACGTCGGTAAAAGAACATGTTTCATTCTATGCTGCAATACAACTCGCTTTTGGAGAAAGATTCACTGGGTTCGGGGCTTAAATCAATCGAGTGGTTTGGTTTATTTAGGTTAATTAGGCGTTGNAGGTGGGACTGACTACACGCTAGACACCTAACCTTAAAAAATCATGTAGGTGAGGCAGGGGGTGTGATCTTCAACCTGTTCCGCAACGCGGACGAATGTAGTCAAAACGGTGGAAACAGCCGTGCCCAATAACCATTACCGGAGCCAAAATGTCCATTGTGTGTGAGGAGCCCAAGTCTTCGGCAGGCCCCAGAGAACGGAATCTGGAACAAAGAGGCGATATGCAGCAGCCTAGGGTAGTACCGAGCTGAAAAAGCGGAAGGAGAGCAGAAACAGAGCATGCAGAGGAAAAAAAAACAGAAAACGAGTAGACACCAAGAAAGTTGTAGTAAAGTTATAGGTTGAAAATGTACTTAAATGATACGCTACGGAGTCGACTACAGAATATTAAATCACAAACCATGTGAAAGTGTGTACCAGACTGGACTGTGTTCCACGAATCTAGCTTTAAGGCTGGTTCCGTGTTCTGGTAATTTTGGGTTAAGAAAGTGTACATAGCTACCTGGTTAGCGTGTGCCGCAAACGAGGACGGATAGGACTCGAAGAATACAATTATAGAAAAATCTCGATAACGGAAAAAATTTCACAATAAATGCCAAAGTACGTACCGGACATGATTGTGTTCCACGGGCCCTACTTTGACGCTAGTTCCGTGCAATGGTGATTTTGGTTTAAGAGCGTATACACAGCTACCTGGTGAGCATGCGTCACGGACGGGAACGCATAGGACTGGGTGAGTGCAATTCGAGAAACATGTTGTTTTGGGATATTAGGTCACAATACTTCTAAACGTATGTGCCGGACTGAATTGTGTTCCACGGATCCTGCTTTGAGGCTGGTTCCGTGTACTGTTAAAAATCGGTTAAAATGTCTACACAAGTGGCTGGTTAGCATGTGTTACGGACGAGAAGGGAGGGGATTGAGTGAAAACACTTCCAGAAACATGGTGCGTAGGGATATTAGGTCAAAATACTTGTGAAAGTATGTACCAGACAGGATTTTGTTCCACGAATCCAGCTTTGAGGGTGGTTTCGTGTACCCGTGATATTGGGTTAAGAAAGTGTACACAGATTCCTCATTAGAATGTGTCAAGATCGAGAACGGATAGGATTCGGTGAGTGCATTTCGATAATCAAGTCCATTACGGAATATTAGGTCATAATATTTCTCAAACTGTATACGAGACGGCATTGTGTTCCACGGATCCTGCTTTGAGGCTGGTTCCGTGAACTGGTGTTATTGGGTTAAGAAAGTTTAATCAGCTCGCTGGTGAGCATTTGTCACGGACAAGAACTGATATGATTGTGTGAAAATATTTGAGGGTTTTAAGCTGGAGGCGTGCACTTGTATGAGAATTTTTGAGAAATTGGGCACTGGCACCTGGTGAGCATGTGCCGTACAGTTGCAGAAATAAATATAAGACCGTCAACCTACATGACGGGAAGATAACGTTTTGGGGCTGAGCTGATGAAACTGCCCAGGGCACCACGGGTCTTAGCAAACCCGAATACGGTAGTAATTAAAGACATCTTGGAGCATCTCACGTTAGTAAACCATACCCAAAGGGAATCAAATAAAGCCGCAACCGGCCAGCCAATATCGTCACTGGGACAGGCAAAAGTTTACAAGATCCCCAAACTGGAGGAAACGGTGGTCACAGTAACAGGTGACCCCATGGATCAGCCAAAATAGGGCTGTTTACCCGAGGGTTACGCCCGATGAAAACGTCCGAGTGAACAAAAACCACTCGTTAGGGGATAAGAAAGCAATGGTACTATTGCACGCCAATGAATGCAGAATTGGGAATAATTGGGGAACCTGGCTGTATTTCATGCTGAATTTTTCAAAATCTTTCCAAACCCATGATGATTTATGGTGACATAACTCTATCCGTGTTTCTCTTCTCTCTTGATGTTTCTCAATCACAAACACCATACATTATTCTTTATCTGTTAATTCGATGCCCGGC